GTATCCTAGTTACGGTTTGTATACTTTTGATAAATACAATTGAGTGTATCAAAATTAAAATTTTTGCTATTAATGTGATATTCGATTTAAAGAAAATTTAATACTAAAATACATAATATCATGTTAAGGTTCTTCAAATATTTCTATGAAACCATTCAATCTTTTTTATTGAATATAAATTAATCAATAAATTATATATATAATCGTATAAAATTTAATTTACCCATGTTTTTAGTGTTTTTGAACAAAAATTGAACTTGAAAGACATCGATTCCAAATAGTTGAGATATATTTCTTGTTCATATATTTTCAGTTAATTATATTTTTCGTTCGTATTTTCGTTTATTATTTTAAAATAATTTTTTATTTTTTATTCATCGTTTTTAACCTAAGAAGAAATAATAAAAGAGAAGAGAATACAGGGGAAGAAATCAGAATATTTTATTTTTGTTCATTAATGTGTGACACTGCATTTTTAATAAATATGGAGGCAGAAACCTCATAACTATTCACCCAATAAAAAATAAGACACGTAATAAAACAAGCTCATCGAAGGATTAACTAGAATTAAATTATATACAATTTTTCTTGTCACATTTTTAATTTACATGTTCTTTAAGAAATTGTTATAGTTTGATTATCCGCGATAGCTTCAACATCTTCATCTATTATAGAGCGTAAGCGAATTTTTGATATAGAATAGTTAAAATGGAAGAGAGTCTTATTATTCAATCAAAGAACATATAATTTATTGATTTCATAACAAAGATTTAAAAAAATTAGAGATAATGGGCGTGAATCGAAAAACGACTCATAAGTAATTGTTAATGGTGGTGAGATTACCAAATTCTGAGGGGTTAGTATCAAGCTATGCCGAATTGCTCCATGTTTACTCGTAGCAAGAATCTTAGGAATTCTTTTTCGATAATTTTACAAATTTATTTACATTTTGAAAAAGAAATAAATTTTAAAAACAAATTAATTTTGTCTTTGTGTTTGTATGATTTCGGATATGATATCATCAGTATTGAAATTCTAGGCCAAATACATACGTAGGTCCCTAAAGTTGTTCGTGCTTTTCTCCCAGGTACCTCAACTAACCAAGATTCCTATTAAATCCTTTAACTCCCTATAATTTGATCCTTTTAAATATTCTTGCCTGATGTGGAGCCAAATTTCAATAAATTATTTTTGGTAATTAGGCGCGTGAGATGAACCTTCCCCACGTGGAAATTTTGACCAATACACTCCAACCTAATTACACGTCAATGCCACATATTAAGCCATCAAACCTAAAAATCAATTTCCCCCCAAATCACTTCTAATCCGTTTCTAAACGAGAAAACCTAAGAATCTCTCCCTTTCAATGACTTTTACAGCTGAAATTCTTAGATTTTAAAGTGATTTTGAGTGTTTTGTTGAAGGAATTGCAGACGATTTTCGCAGTTGAAGAAGAAGAAATCGATGAAGAAGATAATTTCGACATTGGAACTTGATGATTAAGAAGAAATCAATGAAAAAGAGATATAATATAATGAGGTAAAGAGGAGAAATAATGATGAAGAGAAACAAAAGAGGAGAAATAATGGAAGAATGAGAGAAATTAGGGATAAAAGGGGGAAGAAGATCGTTGGTCAGCGCTTTTAAAGAGTCTGCACGCGCTTAAAGGACGTGAGATCACGTTTGTGTCACGACCCAAATCGGGCCGCGACTGGCACCCACATTTATCCCCCTATGTGAGCGAACCAACCAATCTAAACCTTAACATTTCAATATAATATCAACAAAAAGTAATGCGGAAGACTTAAACTCATTAATAAAAACCAATTCAATAACTTCTAAAAACTCAACAACTATTATTATCCCCAAAATCTGGAAGTCATCATCACAAGAACATCTACTTCAAATTACTAAATCTAAGAGTATCTAAGAAGCTAAAATACGTAAAAGCTAGTCCATGCCGGAAGTTCAAGGCATCAAGACATGAAGAGGAAGATCCAGTCCAAGCTAGAAGCATTAGCTCACCCTGATATCCGGAGTAATGAAGACTGGCTAGAGTTGCGGTTGAGTTGAAGATGACGGCACGTTTGCTGCACTCCACAAATAATCAAAAAGAAAACATACAAGTAGGGGTCAGTACAAAACACAGGTACTGAGTAGATATCATCGGCCAACTCAAAATAGAAAACAGTATGTATTAGATAATATCATAAAATCAACTAATATACTCAACATGCGGCATTTACAATTACCATAACCCTTGGTCATAACACCAAGCTCATCAATGAGGACTCACGCCTCCTCATCATACTCATTTGGGAATTAGGTTCATTAGATTGAGTATATTAACATCTTTCAAGATTCATTATCTTTATTCCTCTCGTGTCGGTACGTGACACTCCGCTCCTCATATACTATCCTGGTGTCGGAACGTGACACTCCGATCCTCATATACTATCCTGGTACCGGAATGTGGCACCCGATCCATATACTATTCTGGTGTCGGAACGTGACACTCCGATCCTCATATACTATCCTGGTACCGAAACGTGGCACCCGATCCATATACTATCCTGGTACCGGAACGTGACACCCGATCCATATTCTATCCTGGTGTCGGAACGTGGCACCCGATCCATATTCTATCCTGGTGTCGGAACGTGACACTCCGATCCTCATATACTATCCTGGTACCGGAACGTGGCACCCGATCCATATTCTATCCTGGTGTCGGAACGTGACACTCTGATCCTCATATACTATCCTGGTGTTGAAACGTGACACTCCAATCCTCATATACTATCCTGATACCGGAACGTGGCACCCGATCCCCTAATCTCACTACTTTCGTTCATCAAGCCTTCTTTTATACCAAGACATCATCATTAACAAAGTAGATTAGGGTTTCTTTTTCAAGATTTAGGATTCAATAGCTTCATCATGCTTATTTTATCACCATTATATAATCACAACATGCAAACACACAATTAAGCATATAAAAGGGTTTACAACACTACCCAATACATATCGTTCGCTATTAAGAGTTTACTACGAATAGTGTAAAAACCATAACCTACCTCCAACGAAGATTAGAAATCAAGCAAGCAAGTTCCCAAAGCTTTGTTCTTCTTCTCGTTTCTCCTCTTTCTCGTTCGTTTCTCCCTCTCTTTCTGTTCTTTTCTTTTTCTTATTCAAACTCTCTCTCTTTTACCCTAATTAGCATATAATGAAGTATAAAAGATGGTGAATTAACCTATTAACTAATTCAAGGTTATCTCTTTTAACCCTCAAGTAGTTAAATTATTAACATTAACCCACTAAATTTATAATTATAGCAGGAATAGTCCAAAACGTCCCTTAAAACATTTAAAGAAATCCGACCTCGCCTGGGATTACGCAGCCTGTGACGGGCCGTCGTGCCTGCGACGGTCCGTCCTGCTGCTCAGTCATAGAGTTCAGAGACTCACTTTTTATTTAAAACCCTGTGACGGCCCGTCATGCCTGTGACGGTCCGCCCTGCACTTTCATCACGAAGTTCAGAGAGTCGATTTCAGTACCCAATTTTCAGAATTCTAAGTATTTTGGAACGAGACACCCCCGACGGTCCGTCGTGCCCATGACGGTCCGTCGTGGGTTCCGTTGTCTCAGCCAGTTTTTCCAGAAATAAAATCTGCTGCTCAAACGACTAAACAGGTCGTTACAGTTTGGCTCCACATCAGCCAAGAATATTTAAAAGGATCAAATTATAGGGGGTTAAAGAATTTAATAGAAATATTGGTTAGTTGAGGTACCTGGGGAAAAAACGCAAACAACTTTAGGGACCTGCGTATGTATTTGGCCGAAATTCTATTATGAATGAAGTCCAATTCAATGTGGAGATCAAGGGCACACAAATAGTTACGGGCTGACAAGAACTATTGAGGCACGAACAAGCAAAAGAATAAGATTAATTTGAGATTTAGGTTGAATAGTGGGACACGGAAACGGTTTAATAAAAAGAGTTAATAGTAACTGGCATGTGATTCAAGAATTATACCTATTGTTAAGAAAAAGAATCTTATTCCTCTTATCTCCTTTCTTAGAGCCTAAATATTTAGTTTATAAGTGTCCTTTAATTACTTGTAATTTAATTTCAATACTTTGAGTGTTGTAATTACGATTCTGAAACAATTCTTATTAATATAGTGAAGAATTTGAATTTATTAGACTTTTTTGTATGAATTCAAATTTAATTTAATGCTATTACGAAAAACAAGACGAATTATTAATAGATTTAAATAGCAAAATGTGAAACTCATGTAAAAATTACACACATATTTTCATTTTTTTTAATAGAAAATTCAAACAAACATAGCCTTGAATTCCTACGTGAACCAACACCACCCATTGTTGACTAACTATAACGAATAAATCAACCCTTTAAAATTCGTAATTGTAATTAATATTTGTCCTTGGGCTAAGTGCTAGCTAATGAACAATATTTATGAAATTTTTCATTCTGCAAAATAGGAGTACTATATTATGTTAGTATTAAATTTATAAAAGTCAAAGAATATGCTTTACCTATTGAGTATATCTCACAATATTGAAAATAATTCTATTTTCCATATATTAAGTGTCGGTGAAAATTAACAAATATGCATTTGAGCTTGTACTCAAAAAAAGGAATTACATTAATTCTTGAGTACATGCTCACCTCAACTAACGCTTGTACTTATTAGACACTCTCTGTACTTATTAGACACTCTCAGTAATTCTCAGTAGTGAATAAAAAGTTTGGCCTCTTTTCTCAAGAGGGTGTTTAAACATATGCTTGATGATCTCATTGATTCAAGCTGAACAAGTAGTGTATTGAGCCTCAGAAATTTCTTTGGTGAAGTTATTAAGCTAGGACGTTCTTACGAACACGAACACCCTATGCTGAAATATATAGTAAATGTTGAATCTTTTAGTGAAAATATTGTCTCCGTCACTGACGGTACGGAAGCAAGAAAAACTTAGAATGCTAAATAAATGACTTCCAATAAATTACTATAATTCATACAGGTCCTTCTGTGAGCATCTTTTAGAGATGCAATCTGCATATCATGACAAGACCATATATCCAGCTAATGTCCTTTAAAGATCTTGAATAATTTACAGATTCATCAGAAACAAGTACAAATATTATAATTTACTCTTCTTCATGCACTAATACACTTTTTGGGTCAAGAAGATTTTTTTTCTATTGGATTCACAGCTCTGAAGACATGCTGCAGAACAAAAACCTTTTCTTGACATTTCTACAGTTCTTAGTTATAGTATACATAATCATCTCAAGAGCCAAAACCTGACATGAAAGTTTTTGATTGATAACAACTTTGTGATTGTCAATAGCAGAAAGAAAGGTTCCCTCGATAATAAAAGCAGGATCGGTTACATAACCTGCCTCAGAGAGTAGTTGCCTCTTTTGTATCTACAGGTTCCTTAAATTTTGCCTTTTCACTGAGCTCTTGAAATGCATGTAGAAGATTCTGAAGTCTTGCAACAAACTCAATCAACAGGGACGTAAATGTTGCCAGTGATAATGTACTAGCACTTTCAAAAGTCCGTACTTCACGTTCATTTAAAATCACATCTCCAATAAGTGAAAGCCGTGAAGGCCACATTGTCTGCTGCGCGAATACATCTGCTGAGGAACCCCATTGTGAAGTAGAAAAGTTGACACTTACATTTGGATTAAGAGTATCCATGTGTTTCAATGTGTGAGCAGACCTTAGATGGAGAGTTGCTTCACTAAGGGAGTTAATTACCATTGGTTTAGGTTCATTGTCCTTAAGCTCTTGTAGGCGTTCAGGATCTTCAAACTTCTTAGGTCTTTTTGAACTTTCCCAATTCTCTGCATTAACCAAAAGATAAGATTTTTGGTCAATCAACAATTGGAGATCCTCAGCAGCTTCATGAACATCTTTGAGAGGATCTCCGGGGCTTAGTTTCTCCATCTTTTCAACTTTCTCCCCAAGCAGTCGTATCACTTTAGCTCCTTCAGTCCCAACTCTCCGAATCTCCTTCATAAAAGTCCGCCTTAATTCAGATGCTGCCTACAAGAAAGAAAAAAATGCACAAAGAGAGAATGAATTTTTGTCATGTTACTTAAGAGAGCATAACAAGTGCAAACAGACAATATATATATAAAAAGCTTGGTGAACTGCCATCACGTTAGATAAAATTTTGTCATGTTACTTAAGTTGAAGCTGACAATAAAGGGTTTTCTGTATAAATACTTCTTGAGAAGCTTCCTTCCAACTGTTAAGAGTAATAAAAGGACGACACTAGGACAAAAGTCATCTCAACATTTTAAGGATACTTATTTGCGGAAAAGAAGATCAAGTTATAGCCAAAATGAAAGGGCGTTCAGCTAAGCTGGCAGTTTGAAATGATACACAATTGATAAGATCTGAGTAGAGTTATCAAAGGTTAAAAGCACCAAGACCAGTTGGGGCATTTAGTGCAATTAAAGCATGGGATTTAGTGCAGAAAAGGTGCTAATGAAGAAAAAAGAGAAGTTGCAAAAGTAATTTAAGAAAAAAATTCTACCAGTTCAAATTTCTAATTAAGATATCAAGATGGAGTTCAAAATTTTGAGTGACTGGTTTTCTTATGCTAAATTTCTCATTTATTGTTACTGATCATTAACACATCCATTCACATATTTTGTTCGTAATTTATATCACTTTGCTATGCTGGTTAGATTCCCGCTATCCGCCCAAGATCCCAAAGAAAGTAGCTAATTTATTACACTGTTTATTTAATTCCATAAAATATCCTTAAATTACGGAGTTGGTGTAATTGGCCGTGCTAATGGTGATTCTAACCCTCCCATATGTTTCCTTTTCCTGTCATCCTCAAGAAGGAGAAGACTGTTTCTACTGTCCAGCTAGTGCTTCGCTTTTAAAGACAGTGTCCATGGATGTATTAAGGGCCTAAGGTGTTGTATTAAGGGCCAAACGACCAACCTAAGATTCAACCAGCTTCAAGGTAAGCACTCCTAAGGTGGGGTCTATCGGAAACAACCTCTCTACACTTATAAGGTAGGGTTTAGGTTGCATACACCTCCTTCCCTAGACCCCACTTGTGGGGTTTCACTGGGTATGTTATCTTTATCAAACAATCCAGTGGCATGGTGTTAATCTTTGCGGATGGCACGAAGGTCGATATTTGACTACTATGTAAAATTACAAAAAAATAACGGAGAAAGCTCTGAATATTTTATGAAATATGTATAGCACAGCCAAAATGCAGTTCCACAGTTGAGTTTTTATCCCCAAGGTAAGTCAAACAAATGAGACCTGTCAATTGAGTTTTCATCTGATTAAATTCAATTAATAGCTCTGCGCACACCTTTCGTGTTTTACCATAGAGGGAGTGCAAACCCATGGCAGGTACTAACTTTATAGTCCCTATGAGTCTACCATTTCCTAATCATGGTTATGTGGAACTGCACTGAAGGGTGTGATCTAGCGGTTAATAAAGTGGGTGAAAACCTTGGAGACTAGGGTTAAATAAAACCCAGCAGAGACTAAAGAAGTTAGGCGATCTCCTTCCATCTTCCTAAACCTTGGTGGCAATGTTACCAAGTAGCAGGTACTCGGTGGAATAGTAGAGGTGCAAGCAAGCAAAACACCGACACCACCATTATCAAAAAAATAAAAAGGTTACGAAGAACTGCACAGGTCGAGTATGCTGATTAATTCAAGTACTTCTCTCCTATACATATGCTAATTAATTGAAGTACTTATCTACTATACATCTAAAATATTCCTATTGATTAATGATTATTCAAGCTGCCTAATCTATAACAGACTAAAAACGAAAAAAGAAAGAAAGTAACTGGCAGGTATGAGTTAGGCTTCAAATGTATGGAATATAAAATAACAAAAAAATCTGTGCAACATATTGCTTTATGCTAAGTTTGAGTTTTTTAGAAAAAGCTATACCTGTATTTCCGAAAGAATACATCCATGCATTGCCATTATCATGAAAGCACAATGCCGTAGTGCACCACTAACTCTAGTATATTCAGCCCAAGGATAATTGAGCATTCTGTAACGTCCATGAGGGGGTTCCCACACAGCAAAAGCTAACTGAACCAAGATACCAAAATTAGCAACCCAAGAAAACAGATATTGTTCCACCATCCCTAATGAATGTCGAAATTCTTCTTTTTTTCTCTTTCCATACAAAATATTGTAAAGCTACACTATAAGTTACACGTGCTCAGCATTTATTCTTCGATTTCTTTGATACACTTATCAGCCTCAAACTATTAGTTATATGTTCTCTACCTTTATTCCTCGATTTAGTTAGTACACAAAACTTACTAACCTCCACATGATACCCATTTAAAGTTGAACACTTTCAGACTTAGGATAATATAATGCCAGATGGGACATTAACTTGGAATGGAGGAAATACAACATATTCACAGTTAAGCATCAATAGCAACATAGAATTACCAGAGAAGCTTCTTGGCTGGTAGACTCTACAGCAGCCCTGTAACCACTGTAGATAGGATCATCAGATGCCTGGTAAAGAAGAATTTTTGATGGTATCCTATCGTATTCAAGACATTGCAAATAGTCATTGACACAACCTAAAAAAGAAGTATGCAGATATCAGTCAAGCATATCATGTTTATGTTGTCCCAAGACAACCTAAAGATAAGAGAAGAAAAAATCTTCACCTTCCAAAGAAGTAGCGACACCCTTAAAGTTTTTCACCACCAATTTGTGCAAATCTTCACCAGCCCAAATGGGGAAGATGCATATATTAATAACCAAACAAACAGCAGCTCCAACCCCAATAAGTAACAATCGAGAAACAGCTGTCTTTACAAAATCCGAAGTCCCGGATACTAGCACTATACAATATGTCAATAAGAAGACCCGGAATCCATATTCATACTCCTTCAGTGGAGGATACAATTTCATATAAGTCGCACAAAATCCTGAGTGAAAGAGAGAAAGGTAGAGATAAGAGAGGATAGAAGTTAATACCTCGGATATATATATTTATATATATATATATATAAACACACACACACACATACTTTTACCAAAAGGTATAAGAAAATAGAAAGTGAAAGCAAAAGAGAGAGAGAGAGTATGTTATATATTATAGGAAAAGTGCAGATTAGGATATCATAGTATGTATTAGCCATGGAACATATAATCATATAAATGCCTTTATTAGCTTTTATACCATGTAGTAAACAAGCGAACTCCTCTCAATGTCCCATTTAATGCTTAGACATGATACAAGAAGAAATATGGTGATTCGGACTGTGATATTGATGCATAAGGTACATGGGAGGTAAGATAAGCTGAAAAAAACTTTCCTTTCCTTTGAACAACTGCTATAGAAATGTGAATTTCTTGAAATCTGAATTAATGCAACATTCTTCAGTATGCTATTGAACCTAAGCATTTTATTAAGGGTGCTATACTGATTTATTCTTCTTTTATGAAGTTGAAACCCGAGGGGCATATATGTGTCGAGAGGTTCGCTAAATTCAATTGGAGAAGTACGCCTTTGTCTACATAGTTATCATTGATGCTTTAGTTGCATCTAATATAGGTGCTTATTTTGAGGAGATAATAGTTCAGATTCTTTCATCTTTTCCTTCTCCAGTTTACTGTTCATGTCACCCAGTTGCCAGGCTGGAAGAAGACCCTCTTCTATATCTCTTACTCCATTTGTGCTACTAATTCCCTCTAGTCTGAAATCCTTCTAATCCAATATTCCAAAAATATACAATATAGTCCAAGAAGAAATCGAAAACACTCGAATCCTAATTTGAAAATTATATGAAGAAGCAAGTTCACGCCTTTCTGCATAAGTTGCTGTCCTCAAACCACGATTATGAATCTTTGGCCTTTTGCCCCCTTCAATATTCTGAAGTCATGAAACTTATTCAGAACACGAATTAACTAACAGTTCACATTGTATTGAACAGTTGAAAGATTGAAGCCTAATTCACAGAAGGACACAAATTAAGTGCTCAAGTTGCATCAAATTTTGAAACTTGATATATGGTTCAACTTTCATTTTCTGTCCAATTTGGCTTTTGTTTTTACATTTATTAACTTATATAGTCAATGCATTTAAAGTTTGACAGTTTCTAGCTAGATCTAATTGATTCCCACTTCACTTTTACAATCTCTAAGCTAATGAAGAGAAAACAAGACAAAATGAATACATAACCTTTTTCATCATGATTCATAAATAAACACAACTATAAAACTCTAAAAATTGAATCCGAACCTGCAATAAATACACTGATCACAATCAAAATCTCTCGAAATCCTCCAGCCATAAGAGACAGTTCAGCAATGCCCAAAGCTAATCCTCCAGCAGAAAATGTCCCCAAAGCCCTGTTAAATCCTTTGTTAAGCGTCGCCCCTACATATTTAAGTTACAATAATCTCAAATTAGCAATAAACATAAAAGAAACTGCAAAATTGATACATAAAAACGAAATTTCAGGAGATCCCCTCGTTAGCTCAGTTGGTTGGCTATCTGAACTATCTAAACTTTCTATCTTATTGGTCAGGTTTCGATTTTATCAATCCACTCCCTAATTTTCCTTCTCTTATCCCAATTTTCGTTTTTCTTCTTCTTTTTTTTTCAAAAAAATGAACAGATTGGATTCAAATCCCTTCCGGTATTTCCCCTTCCCTACCCCAATTCAAAAAAGAAGAAGAAGACGAGATTTTTCACATACCTATGCTGAATTCAAAAACGACGACAACGGTAAGAATCGCCCAAATGGAGTGGCTACCAATATAGGGTATGGGTTCTTTGAAGAAAATGAGAATGGAAACAAGGGCAAGAGCAAAACCCACTTTAGCAGAAAAGATAATCTTTCTCGGATCACTGCGACCCATTTTAACTGCTTTACTTGCAGCTTGTTTGACATTGTTACAGTACTCAGAAACTCGATAACGAATACGTTCTAGAAAGTTCTCGTTTCCAGTAAAACCACCACCACCACCTACACTCAAGTCTGAGTAGCCTTTTCTGAGTAGTAACAATCTTTCTTTGCTTGTTTCATGGAAGCTCTGCTTCAATGAACCCAGATATGCATTCCCTGCTGCTGCCATTTTTTTGGATCAAAATTGATGAAGAAGTTGCATGATTCTTATAGAGTGTATAATCTGATCTGAATTTGACTAAATTATTGAGATTCTTTATTGTTTTCTGTCGTCAAATGGATCTCAAGATTGGATGTATTTGGTCTCTGTTTTTTCACATAAATCAATTTTTCATTTTTCAACAATTTGTCCCAATCGTATTTATATTAAAATTGGAAAATACGTCAAATTCCTTAACAAAATTTAGTACTTTAACTATATAAGTATTTAATAAAGTTCAAAAATGTCAAAAGTTATTTAACGCTCCCATAATTAAAGTATTAAAGTGAATTTTGCTGCCAAGTTCAAAAAAATTTCATGTATTTTCACTATTAAAATTTAATTAATGATTTAAGTTATTTATATAAACTTTACATGTATTGTTATATTTGTTTGAGAAAAACGTCTGTAATATATTTAAATATTGATTAGAATTGATAAAACAATATCTAACTTTGAAAATGATCTTTTAATAGTGTATTTTAAAGATATATATATGTGTACGTGCGCATGTGTGTGGCTACGTCTATATCATAAATATTGCTTCACTATTTAATGTGTCGAGTGGATTCATATATATCTTTTAAAATATAGTATGAAATAATAGTATAAGAGGGTAAAAAGTCGTCTATAAAATTTGACATCGTAACAGTAATTTTGATCAAAATTAAAATATTTTTTAAATTTTTTTCCCTACTTATTTTATTATAAATAAATGAAGTGATTATTTTATTGCATTGTTTAAATTGTAAAAACTAAAAAGTTTTATTTTGTTTCACGATAATTTTGGTGGGGGTGGTTGTTTCTTTTCCCTTTCTCATTATTTAATTTAATTGTTAAATTCCTTTTATATCAGTTTTATTTTGCATTCTAATGTCTTTTCATAATATTGTAAGTTAATTTTTTTAAAAAATTAATATATAATATTATGTAATGGTAGAAAAATGATATAATTTAATCAAATATTATATTTATCTGAATAATATTGCAAAAAAGAATTTTGATTTAATTAAATGTCAAAAGCTAATTTAAGAGAAATAATTATTCAACTTATATAAAAATACTTCATTCATCTTCAATGTGAAATTCTTCATCCATTATCTCGCATATCTAAAAATATCGTGTGATATTAGTGTATGCACGATTGATTGGACATTATCACCTCCTGTTGAATGTGTATTCTATCTGTTCAGATTCAACTTTAATATTTAATTAGCTTTGCATTTAACAAAAATCCAACAATTAGCTTTAAATAAAAAATATCTAAAATTATATTGAAATCCAAGTCACCTCATTCAACTCTGGTGTGGAATTTTTTATTTATCAAATATGATATAAGATGAAACACATATGATAACCACCCAAACAAGTTATAATTTGTAACTAATTTCTCGATCAATTACATAAAAAGTATATTTAATTATCTTTTCTAGTTGCTTAAACTTTATTATTTGTTTTCCTTTCAATTTACTTCTCTTTTTCTTTGTAAAGAATATTTGTCAATTGTCACGCCATATAGTAGCATGCCTTATTTGAAAAAAAAATAATATTATCTCCACTAATAAACATATCAAATTACGTAAATATAAAAAATATATATATCTGTAATTATAACTAGTACTTTAACAAAATGAACAATTAATAACAATAATAAGGTTCTGAAGTCAATGAGCAACCGCCAATATGGATAATTAATAATTAATCTTCATTTAATGATGATAATGATATCATTTTATTATTTGAGGATAATAATATCATATAGTTAGTCAGCTCTTTTAATTCCATTAAATCATTAAAAATTTGAAGTCAATAAGTAGGCCGGTTACTTATACAAAGTTGTACGTAGCATTTTGGTTTGAATAAAATAAAATAAATTACTATGAGTAGTTTTAGGGTCCGTTTGAATGGGGTTAATAAAAGTAGCTTTAAAAAATACTTTTGAAAGTGTTGAAATTTATTTTTAAAATAAGTAGTTATGCGTTTGGATAAAAGTGTTGAAGTTGCTATGCCAAACGTGAAAAGGGAAAAATGAAAGAAAGAGATATTAGGGTTATGTGGGTAATTTGGAGATTGTATAAAAATATTAAGGGCAAAAAGAAAAAAAATGTGGTCAACTTAAAACAGCTTATAAAGCTAAAAAAAAAAAAACACCCCTACCCCCAGCTTTTAACTTTTGGCTTAAAATAATTATTTTTAACTTAAAATAAGTTATTCTGAGTATTGCCAAAATAATTTTTTTTAAACTTAAAATAAATTATTTTGCATATTGCCAAACAGCTAAATAAGTCAAAAACCAATTTTTAAGTCAGTTTGACCAACTTTTAAGCTGAGTCAAACAGACTCTTAATATCCTAAAATAAACTTTGAAAAGCATTTTTAACCATAATTTTCTGTAATTTTACAAAACCGTTTCAACCATAATTTTCTATATTTTACAATATGAATTAATAATAGAAATATGGATCATTTATTTTTACTAGTTGATATATCTCTTGAAACAGGAATAAAGCTAAAGAATTGTAATAATTTTTATTTTTGTTATGCATAAGGTCAATTTGACTTTTATGAATTTTAAAAACATGATTTAGTGATCGACGAGATCAAAATTCCCCGAAGGTTGTGTCACCAATTTTAGATTTTTTTTAGTTTTTTTTTCTTGGTCTGGTTTTGTAGTTACCCATAGCTTTCAAATATTGAAGCAGCATTTTTCATAGTATTTATTTTCCATCAATTGAAGTAAGGCACGTTACTTATTTACTTATTTATACTAAGCCACTTTATATTGCGAAATAATTATATATTATCTCACTAATTAATAATTTTATATAGATTTCAAATCAGATACATTATTTCTTATTGCGAAATAATTATATATTATCTCACTAATTAATAATTTTGTATAGATTTCAAATCAGATACATCATTTCTTAATATTTCTCCCTTCTTTCTCGTGCTCTCTTCTTTTTTGTATCACTGATACGTATATTTTTAAACCGAATAGATTACGAAACAAATAATTTAGAACTTTTTTTTAAAAAAAAGTACAAATCAAAACAAAACTAAATAATTGTCAAAGTACTGTGAAATAGTTATTGACATATATAATTAGTATTATAAAATATTTTTGAGTCGTTTATAATATAACAAGGGTGTTTTTTTTATCTAATAAGTGAAAGGAGGAGTAAATTTGAATAATTTTTAATAAGTTAAAAGAGCATTTTTAATTCATTAGATGAAAGAAACACAAATTTGTTCCAATAGGTGAGATGATTATTTGTGATCTGAAGAAATTTTCACAAAAAACATTAATTACTAGACTAAACCTTCGACTTATTTTTAGAGATGTCAATATTTATATATATATATATATATTATCCTATAATCTTTTCGTACTTATACAATGTAATTTTTCGATAAAAGAAACGAGAATAGCTCCGCCCCAGAGATGACTTAGAAGGACAATTCTTTTTGTTCCATTTTCTAAATTACTCTTATTTCAAAGTTCATGGAGCAAGATAAAAGTTTTTAAAAAAAAAATGAAAAAAAAAATGATAAGGCGAAACAAAATTAGTCTTTTTCCTTAGCTGCCTTACTCAATTTAGCATCCTACGATCTTTTCGTACTTATTCTATATTTTGATTTTTTTAAAATAAAAATCTTTTTTCATACTTATTCTATATTTAAATTTTTATAAAATAAAAATCCTACCTTCGTAATTGTCTAAAGGCCAATATTTCCCTATTTATTAATGAGATAGCGACTAATAAGTTGATAGCACTAACTTCATAAATGTTGTGCATCTCATAATTGAATCTTGATGATTTATTTCAATTATGAGCCTTCTGGCCATCGGAATTGACCACAAAAATTATTTGACATTTATTTAGGGATAAAAATGAAATTTTATTGAGAATCCAGAAGTGCAATAATATCATTGCACTCTCTAACTTTTATTAGTATAACTTACATAAATATCATAGTGTAAAATTTTAATTACTTTCTATTCCTAATATTTTTATAATTACATAGATCTCATATTTTCTTTAGACATTTCAGATATATAATTAAGGATCCGGATACATTATTATTGATACACATCAATCTGTTGCACTTATTAAGGGAAAAAAAGCTATAAAATCAATTTAAAATTTCATAGTATCCATTTGTTGCACTAATTAAGGAGGAAAAATTGAAAATTATATTATGATCCCATAAATTACGTTATTCCATTCAAAATTATTATCAAGAATTCAAAATCCTAGAGTGTAACAAACCAAAAAAATAAATCTCTTCTTCTTGTTCATCGTTCTCTCTGTTTCATAAAAAAAATTGTCGAAATTTTGAAAATCGGGATGAGTTATGAAGGAATGTATGAAACTGTTGTTGGACAAACGATTTCTTTTGTAAATCTTCAAGTTCATCGAATATCTTTTCGATTTTGATTCAAGATTGTTGAAAAATTTGAGAATCTAAATTCTTCTCCAGTTCATTGAAGATCCTTTTCGTTTTGATTTAAAATTGTTGAAAATTTTGAATTTCAAAATTATTCTCCTAGTTCATTGAAGATTCTTTCAATTTTGATTAAAAATTATCAATTTTTTGAGAAGATACATCATGAAGATCATTTCAATTAAAATTGATAAGTGTTGTATTTCTACTAGCTACACTAAATAAGAAAGTATTGCCCATAAGATTTTAGGTTTGTGATCAATACATTATTATTTGGTAATAGTTATGTAACAGATACATTTAGTATAAATTTAAATTTACGTATCATAACTAAAAAATTAGTGTATGATATATATATATATTATTATTTATGTATGTTCTTTTGTTTGAGATCATGAAGATCTTTTCGATTTGAATTGATAAATATTGTATTTTTACTAGATAGATTAAATAAGTAAGTGTTGCCCATAAGCTTTTAAGTTTGAGATCAATACATTATTTGTTTGGTAATTCTTATGCATCAAATACATCTAGCATAAATATGAATTTACGTATCATAACTAAAAAAAATAGTGTATGATACATTATTATTTATGTCCGTTATTTTATTTGAGAAATACTACACTTTAAAAATTTTTTAAAAAATATATTATAGTAATTATTTGAGATCTGTTGTGCGGAATT